ACTCTTGTGGTCGTATAATCAACTTTATTTAAAAGGCTTTCATTCATTTTACTGAACCATGTTTTACGACGATCCTCTTCAGTTGGAAATTTAAAAAAATGTTTTTTAGACTTAACATAATAGATGTTTCTGCAAGGAGGGTATCGACACTGATATCTTGCAATAGATGTCATTTCGCCAGATGTTACATTTACTAAAACCTTTACTTACAAACTACATTTCAGTTTTTGCCTGGTTTAACCAGATTTGTCAGTTCTATGATGTAAGGAACATCATGGTCAGTTCTTTGGTTCATTGGTGTATTTTAGGTTTTTTTAGGTTTACATTAATGTGGTCCCTAAAAAGTTTTTAATTAGATTTAAAATAAACTTCGTACTAAATTTAAAACAAACTTTGTACCAATAATTTCTTACTAATTTATGTGAAAACTGCCATTATGTAGTCCAGAGTCCACACCAAAAACCCAAAACTGGGGTAATATGCTACCTTAAAGAATTCTTCTGACATTTGTTGCCACTATAGACAAAGAATAATAAATATCTAAAATGTTAAACAAATTAATGTAGAGCTACTAGTTGTAGGATATATATAATATATTTTACAAACCTTAAAATCGTTCTTCCATTTAATAGCTTTGCTTTACTTTACCAAACTAAAATCGTTCTTCCGTTCCCAACAGCTTTACTTTTATATTTAATGAAAGCGGAACTTTTTTTATATTAAATGTACTAATTTTGTTCTGTTTTTATTACTTAACAATAAAGTTTGTTGATTTTGACAATAAGTTTTGTTTATGTCCGACATATTCTAGTTATTTTAAGTTGTCACTCTGAAATCACGTTGGTACACCAGATGCGTAGAAGACACATTTACATAGAAACGCGTATACAGCCACGCGCATCTTACTTGTTAATAGAAATTCCTATTCAAAAATCCGTCTCTCTCTCTCCTTTGTCTCTGGTTAGTCGAGTCGCAACTGTAGTTTCAATTATATTACAGATATCATCGATATTTGTGATCCCAACGCGAGTATCTCGCCGAGTCCTAATATTTTAAATAAAACGTCTGAAAAATGGAGCCAAGACTTCGACAACATTGAGGCTGATTGTTCTTCTTTTGGGCTATATGATTGCTTAGTGTGGCCTAAAACTCCAGAACGAAAAAATAAGAGGCATGCCAAAGGATTACCTTTTGTAATATCTTCTAGTGAAAAAAAATACACGAAGATAGGCAACAAGAAAAAGACAAAAAGAAAAGCAGGAAAGAGAACAAAAAGAAAATAAAAAAACGATAGCTAACCAAAAGACCAAACAAAAGTCAAATGCTGAAAGTATTCAAAAAGAAAAAAAAGGTTAATAAGCCAAAGCATATAAAATATCTAAATTCCATTGAAACGACAAAAGACAAAAATAAAGCTAACTAATTAAAAAAACTCAAGCTCCTTGGATGATATTGAACAAAAAATAGCGACGAAAATACTCAAGACAAAAATAAGAAATCATATTAACAAGAATCAACCGACTTTTTTTTCAACTGAAAAGCTAATCAAAATGTATCGAAATAAAAAACACAGTTTCCTTGGAAGATATTGAAAAAGAAAATAGCGACCAAAATACTTAAGATAAAAATAAGAAACCATATGAACAAGAATCAACCGACATACACGAAGATAAGCAAAAAAAAAAGAAAAACAGGAAAGAGAGAGAAAAAACGATAGCTAACCAAAAGAGAAAACGTCAAATGCTAAAAATATTCAAAGAGAAAAAAAGGTTAATAAGCCAAAGCATATAAAAAAATCTAAATTCCATTGAAACGACAAAAACAAAAATAAAGCTAACTAATTAAAAAAACTCAAGCTCCTTGGATGATATTGAACAAAAAATAGCGACCAAAATACTCAAGACAAAAATAAGAAATCATATGAACAGGAATCAACCGACTTTTTTTAAGTACCAAACCAAGCCTTTCTATCAATAATGTGATATGCAACAAAGGACTTTGTTTCTCATGTACCCAACATTTCTCTTTGTTAAATTATGGCATAAAGTGCCGCCAGACTTGTAAAAGATCATACCATGAAAAGTGTAAAAAACATGATACCTACAAAAAATTTATAAATGCAAAGTTTGCAAGGCTTTAGAGGCGTTTAAAATTAAGTAAATTAACAATATTTTTTCATGGTTTGTTAGGCTTGATTGCCTATTTTGTATCATTTTAGTGAGGCGTTGTTAAGAACCAGTTTCTTAGTTTTTTGGTTTGTTTTTTTTGTGTACATAATTTAGCCAATCAAAGAAATAAAGAATCAAGTTTTATTTCACTTAAAGCAATTAAAAAAAAATCGAAAATAGAATTTGGCTAAATGTCAATAAATGGATTCCGTGACATGCCAATTACTAGGATAAGCGCGAACTACTGTTCCAGTTTCTGATCTTTTTTCTGTTTGGATTCAATACCGTTTTTTTTTTGTTTTCCGATCAATGCCAGAATAACTTCATCACCAAATTCAAGATGTGTCATTTTTTTATTTTTATTGTAGCAACTGTACAGATGTCCAGCAGCCGAAAAAATATCTTCCGGTACTCCTTGGAGTGAAGATTTTACATAGTCATCACATTTTGGTTTTATATTCTTTTGTTTATGCCTGTTTTTAAATTTAAACATCTCATGCTTATGTCTGTTTATTTTCTCTTACCAGTTGGTAACTACCACATTGCCCTTTCTTTTTCATGCACATTTACCCTTCTTTAATTTAGCTTTTACTACTGATTTTGGATTTCCTTTTTTGTTTTCTCTCGAAGTGCCCACAATAGTAGTATTATTTTCCAAAAGGTTTTTAGGTTTTACGCTTGTATTAAAGTTATCCAAGTATACTGTTTGACCTACTTTTAGATAATTGCTCATAAGTTTTTTCACGATTTCATGGGTGTGGCTTGAATTTTCAGTATTTATAGTCCTTTTTTCGACATAGACTATAATGTTTAAAATACACCCAACGTATGTCGTCATCTCATATAATTTGATTCCATATTTATAACTTATTGAAAATGTACTGCCGGAAACTAAGCGACCTCGCCACAGGATCATAGCTTCGTCAATAGATTTATCTGGGTCTTACATTAGACATTAGACAGAACAGCATCTAAAATTGACCGTATTTTGAACAATTTATTCTCGGTGTGTAAAAAAAAGGTTTACTTGTTCGTTTAGGCTTTTTCCTTTTTTTCTTTTGTTTGTCGATTTCATATGCTTCTAGTAATGTGAGTTTGTGGTTTTTCTCTTGGATGTGTAAAATTTCTATTCCGTTCTTCTTGTTGTTAGGTGATTGCCGAAATTTAAGTTTTTGTTTTTTTTTAAGGTGGGTTTATGCAGACTTAAGATTTAAGAATTAAAAATTTAGCGAAAAAAATGTGGCGTTCATGCAGCATTTTTCTTAAGACTTAAGGAGTAACCAATCAAAATCGATAAAAATATCACGTGGTATCAAGTTGGTACTACCAACATTAAAATGACAATTGACATTGAAATTTTACCGTTGTGTTTTGTGAATGCGTATATATTTGTTTATCAACCACCTGATGGCTATTGTATGGCCTGAACTTCAAAAGACATTGTCAAAAAATGCACTCTCACCAAGTCACCGTTTAACAATGACATTACAGTGAGTTGGCGAGTTTTACAGTTATCTATCTGAAGGATGTTCTATGCAACAGATCGCATGGGACTATTATGTAGGTAAAACTACAGTACATAAAGTTATTAAGGAGACATGTGACATCCTATGGAAAATTTGAATGCCATTATACTTGCCATTATTAAGTAAAAATCAGCTGGAAGAGATGGAGAGAGGCTTTTATAAACGCTGGAATATGCCAAATTGTATTGGGGCCTTAGATGGAAAACATGTTAACATTCAGGCTCCACCACACAGTGGTTCTGATTATTTTTCTTACAAAAAATCATTTAGTTTGATGCTAATGGCAACATGTTGATGTTGATGTTGGAGGTGTTGGATCACAGCATGATAGCACAAGTTTCCGAGAAGCGGATTTTGGTAAAGCATTGTTAAATGATCAGCTACCAATACCATTACCAATTTCCACATTTTGTTGTTGCAGATCAAGCCTTTCCGTTACATCAGCATATAATGAAACCTTATCCTGGACAAAATTTAACACGCAAGAAGCGCATGATTATTTACAGGCTATCACGAGCACGAAAGTGTATAGAAAACACATTTGGAATACTGGTTCAGCGATGGCGGTGTTTAAGAAACCCATTATATTGACACATGTCGTACCACAAGAGCCTTGCGAGATGACCTGGTCAATTATTTTGTATCAGAGAGAGGACAAGTACCTTGGCAGTATGAACTTTTAGATGAAGGCGCTGTACCCCCTGAATTCTTTTACCCTATAACCTTTTAGTAAATTTTATGTTCTAAAAATAGTAATTTTTTTTATTTAAAAATAATAATATATAAAACAAAGTTATGTATGGCATGGTAAAGCTTATTTTTTATTTTAAATGAAGCTACTAGTGCATGAAGGTGTTAACTCATTTTTTTAAGGCTTGATTTTTTCTATTACAAAAAAAAAATGACTTATATTAATTTGAATTTTTAAATTTTAGAATTGTTAAAATTATTGTACAAGCATAAAACTCTAATTAAAATTTGTTTAAAAAAATAAGCTTTTTTGTGATAACTACAAATATTGAGTTAACACCTTCATACGCTAATAGCTTCAAATATGTAGGTATATTTTTAAATATTTTATATAGTGAGCTCTAAAGATTAAAAAAATAAAATACTGTAGGAAATAAGATAATTTAGGATTTCATTTAAAAAATACATCATATTTAATTAAAACCTGATTGTAGTTTAAAGTTTAAAATAAAACTTATAATAATAAAAATATTTATTTTATGATGAATCATCACTGTCGCTCACAATATTGGCTAATAAATTATAGATTTGGGCCTACGACGTCGCCTTGAATTCCTTATAGACGCCAAACTTTGATCCACTGCCAAAGCAAATGCTGGAACTGCTGGCGTTGGTGCACTTTTTTTTTAAAATACCCTTGAGTGGTTGATAGGGTAGATTCTAAAGCCTGGAGCATGGGCTCCTCTGCTAGGGCCCTCTTGGACTTAACCATCCGCCTCCATGTGCCAGCATGTTCTACGTGGTGGCTCCCACTTGGAGTTGAGGTTTCTGATCTTTGCAGATCCTCTGGCCCACTTTCAGAGGCATCCTTTTCTACAGCAGACTCAGCTGTCCTCACACTTTGACTTTCCTCTTCTGCTGCAGACTCAATCAACTGGGATACTGTGTTCCAGGCACTACAGCTTGGAAAGTCCTCTTCATGTTGCAGCTGGTGCATTTGTGCAACTTTCCCAGTAATTCCAGGAGGTTTGAGCTGAGTCCTCTAGTCATTCAACAACATTCCCAGTATTTCTCCTTCTAAAATTAAATATTTTTTATTAATTTTAAATTAAACAAACAATATATGTTACTTACTTTCTGGATGAAATGAAGGCATCCAAAAATCCCATAGCTTGGTAATGGGGCCACTGGGAGGTTGCATGTGAGCCCATACTAGATGCCAGATGCAAACAGCATTTATTTATGTCATTTGTTGCTATAACATTAGCATAATTATGCGTTTTGATATCAATCTCGGAGCTACTGGAGTTTATGGGATGAAAAAATTAATTAGCATTCTTTGCATGAAGAGGCACTATTGTGATAAAATAAAAGCTCACCACGTTACCAAAGTTAAATAAGTTATAATAAATTAAGCGTAAAATATCTTACCCGTTCAGTCATCTACAGTAATCTCCAGCACGTGATGAAAACACGGAAATTTGAAGTAAAACCGAAATATTATTCATTGGTGTAAACAGCTGCTCTATTAAAATAACGTTAACCTATTTGCATAATTTGAAAACCAATAACTTTAATATAAACAAGGTGTTCATTAAAATACTTTATTTAGATACAATACTATACACTAACATCTATTTATTACGTATGATGGCTTCAAGTCTTCGCGTTAAAGCTGTAGGTATATTCCGCCTTTTCATATATTTATGGAAAATATTTTCATCGACTTGGGTCAGTACTTTTTTAGATTGTTTCTTTTCAACAGGAGAATTCCCATTTAGAGCGTTGAAAACCGTTTTCTGTTGGTGATTTTCAAGGGTTAACTTATAAATATTACCAAACTCTTCATCGTTAGTTATACTTTGGTAATATACTTCCATATCCGATGGTAGAACACTGAAGCATATATTGGAAACTTCCAGTGAAAACATAAGCCAATTGTTCACATATTTTTCTTCAGTGGTCAGTAAAGTCGTTCTTACATTCAAAATTATTTGATTAAACTTCTCCCTTTGATTCTATTTCAGTGAAACACCGTTTAGGAACATTTGCGAGGCATATAATTTAACATTTTTAACTTCCTTCGACTTTAATAACAAACTCAGCAGTGTTATCAAAGGTCCGCTTAGAAACACTAAAACCTCACCTGAAGCAGTGCGAGCTTTGTTGTAAAAAATCCCAAGTATTCTTACGGACATTCTGGAACCATCATCCTTCACAAAGCCTGATTTCTTGGTAGAATCGAAGTTTTTATGCATACATCTCACGAATAATGAACGGACGTTCTCCCCTACTACTTCCAGCGTCACAAATTTCTTCGATGTCAACAATAACAAAACTTTTGCTGACAAAACTGCATCCTTCAGGCTATTTTTGTACAGAGACTTGATACTTTTTTGTACATCCTCTTTGGTCGCGCAGTTCGCAGTCCATGATTCCAGAATGAACCTTATTTTTTGGATAATAAGAATTCCATCATCGTTTATGTCCAAGATTTTGATTCTCGCTTGGAGTTCTGAATTCGCCGACATGGTTGTTGTTCACTCTGTAAAACTTGGTTATATAATGATTTTTTTGATTTGGGTGTGGAATTATATAATTATGATCACTACCTATTACCTGTTAGTGCAGTTGCAATTATTTTTAAGATTTTTACCTTATGTTTTGAATTTTTGGGTATGATATAATGTGGTATCTTTAAATTCACTAAATACACATAATACTTTGTTTATACGTATATTTTAATATTAATATCACAGATTAAAATTACATCGATATACATCATGTCGAGTCGCAGAGAAGAAGGCTTTTTGCTTTCTGCGCATGTGCGCTTATTTGATATACAGGAAATGGACTAATTTATTTCCTGTATGCATATATTTAAATTAAATATATCACACCTCCATTTCTTAATTAAAATAAAATGATGTATTATGCAAAACTAGGTTAAGTTTAAAATTATGTAAATAAATTAAATTTTAGTTTAATTTTTAGTGTACATATAATTATGTAATTTTGTATTGTTATTTTACTCTAACTATCTTCCTTTCTTAAAAAAAATATTTTGTGGGTATGTTATTTTTAATTTTAAGTAATCTTAAATATTTTATTTTATTTTGTACTTAAATATTTCATTTTAATTAATCTTAAGATATTTAACAATTATAATAAATAAAGTTACATTATACAATAAACATTACATGTGAACTACAAAATATACATTTTTTTTTATTTTTTTAATAAACAATCTTTAAGTTTATTTGGCATATTTATTTCTCTACCCGATCTAGTTTTAATTAAATCTGTTTTAAAAGTATTTTTAGTATTAACATTGGAAATCTGGACATTTTTACTTGTGGACGGAATCTGTCCAGAATCTATTATTTTATTTTTAGATTTATCTGAAACTTTTAAAATACTAGGTTTATTATTTATGATATTAACAAGAGAAGTTTGTGCTAAATTGTCATTTAAATTTTTATTTAAAATTATGTCAGAATTCTTTACATTAATTGTCTGAACATTGTCAATGTCCAAAAGGTCAATATTATGGTCTTCGCGATCAATATTACGAATATCTTTATTTCTTAGGTTATTTTGATCTGTACACAAATCTAATTTTGCAAAAAACTTACCATCTCTATGGTGCATAAAAATTTCTTCTGCTCTGGGCAAAGGGTATTTAAAATCTTCTAATTGTTGATTCAATGTTAATCAAAAATCTCCACAAATTCTTATCGTATTGTCAGGTTTTAAAACACACACAATTGGAGTTGCAATTTCACTATCATTTACGGGAATTAACGTACCTTCTTTTACCATTCCTTCTAACTGTTCTTCCAGTTGTTTTATATACACCAATGAAACATTCCTATGTTTCATAAAAAAAATTTTAGCATTAGGTTTTAATTTTAAATTTATTTTAGCATGTTTAAAAGTGCCTAATTTATCAGAAAAAACGTCAGAAAATTCCGCAACAAGTTCATTTTCATATTATTGCAATTTAAACCAATATTAAAAGAATTTAAAAAATCACGTCCATGTAAACATGGACCTCCGTTTCTAACAACGTAAAATTTAACATATTTAAATATATTATTTAAACCTACTTTTATCATAAAATAACTAATAGATTGTATATTTTCACCTGTATAACCTTTTAAAATAATGTCTATAACAAGTTTAAATCGACCAAAATTCTGTTGATAAAATTCATAATTCATACCATTAATAGAAGCACCTGTATCTACTATCATAGAATATTCTTTATTACCCATAGAAACGTTTAATTTAAAAGGATTACTATTTTTTACATGCGTATTTATATTAAAAATTTCAAAACTTTCATTGTTTCCGTCAAAATTATCATTATTTAAGTAATTATGCCCTTTAAACTTTTTAATACATACTGATTCCAGATGTCCAACATTTTTACATTTCCTACAACGATAATTTTTATATTTACAATGCGAAAAATCATGATTTTTAAACCACAAACTCTACAAGTCTGTTTCGATTGCAATGGCTTCTTGTTGTTACTGTTTAGTTCCTTCATCCCCTGTCTAAAATCTCCGTCGCTAGTTGTCGTCCTACCTCGCTGGTGCATTTGCGCGCTACGCTGATGTTCGCTTCGTGCGGCGTTGCCAAACGTGTTTGTTGTAAGGTGTGTTCGATTTGTCTGATAACCGGTTGAATTGGTTGTCTTCCATTGTTGTGGTATCTTCGAGCAAAATTCAAATTATGTTCATGAGTACTTACAATTTTAAGTGACTCCTTTTGAACAGCCAACTTCAACAAATCTTCTAATGATTTATTTTCAGATTCTTCACATAATCTATCAAGTATGTCACTTTTTGTCATGCCACAAATAAATTGATTTTTGAGAAATATTTCCAATTTATCACCAAAATTGCAATTTACAGCCAACGATCTGATTCTTGCTTACCAAGCACTTGAGTTTTCATCGTTACTTTGTCTTGATTTATGGAATTTGATCCTTTCTCGAAATATTGACACTTGAGGGCTATACTGTTTCACTAATAATTGTGTTAAATGTTCATAAGTCTTTTCCGCAGGTTTTTCAGGAAAACACAAATCTCTTAAAAGTAAAGTAGCAACTTTAATTTTCGGTTCTGTTATTTTATTTGCCGTAAAATATTGTTCTAGCTTCTCTTGATAAATAACAATATCAGTGTTGAATTCGTCAATTTTTCCAATGTTCGCCATCTTGACCTTGTCCACCAACTACGTCTTAACACTTTCAAACCAAATTGAATATTTTTCGAGGTAAACGCGTGGTCCAGTCCTTTAATAAAATCGTCGCCAATTATGTGGTATCTTTAAATTCACTAAATACACATAATACTTTGTTTATACTTATATTTTAATATTAATATCACAGATTAAAATTACATCGATGTACATCATGTCGAGTAGCAGAGAAGAAGGCTTTTTGCCGTCTGCGCATGTGCGTTTATTTGATATACAGGAAATGGACTAATTTATTTCCTGTATGCATATATTTAAATTAAATATATCACATATAATAATTATTATACCTGGCGAATTCAAAACATATTTTTAGTGTAATGTCATAAAATTAAAAGTAATAGATATCAAAATAAAAAGCACATACCTAACATTGACGAATTTAAAAATGACGATATGCTAAAATAAATAAAAATTAAATACTACAACTTTTATTAATCAGCTTTCAAACGCGTATGTTACAAACGAGTGTTTTTAAAAATAAGGCCGGAAAATATTAAAAATGTCAAGAGATTTGTTGTGTTGTTGATTTTTTTCAAGAGGAAATCCTGATTTACGTAAAAATTGTAAACATTTCAATTCAGTAAAAATCATAAAACAAGTAATGCAGAAACGTTGATTTGTTTATATCAACTGATTTAGCATATCAGTGGATTTAGGTTTTTGCACGACGTGGCAACGCAGTTATTTTCTTTAAAAACTGTTATTTTATAAAATAAATTGGGAAATTATCTTTAAAAGGTTTTTATTACCTCAAAAACCATAATTTCTACAGCCTAGAAATTAAATCCGCTTATATAAGTCCTGGTTTACTAGATTTGTTTTTTTGGCCAATAAAATAGTTTATATAAGTCTGATTCAAAATATAGATAAAAATACAGCATTTTTGTTTGTAACTATATATGAAAAAATATATCCAGAAGGTAAACAAACCTATAATAAAGATATAATTATAAAATAAAATATTATAAAATATAAAATTACTATTATGTTAATCATATCAAATATCTTTGATGTTTTTTTCTGACCAAAAAGCTGAATGCTCGAAATATATTAATTTATTAGTTTGTTTGTAAAAGAATTACCCCTAACAATGTACTTGGGTGAAAATATTTATTGATACATTTTATTATTATTAGAAATACACATACCTTTCATTAATGTTTTCTTTTTAATAGAATACTTAGATAAATAAAAAAATACTATTATGATGTTTAACACGTGGAGTGCCATATGTATCCAACATGGATACATGTGGCACAATGTTTCAGGGGCCACACGTATCCACTATGGATACAAATTGGTTTTTATATTTCTAGCCGTATGTATCCGCGTTAGATGCAGGCTTTGCACGTATTGTTGGCCTGCGGATTTTGTTTCTGTTTTTTCTACACAGGGATTTATAAATAAGTACATACAAAAAATTGGTTTATTTAGAAAAAATGGTTTACTGCAAAATAGATAATAGATAATAATTTAAAATAAAAACGTACACATAGTCCTAAGTTAACAGTAATACTTCAATCAATGAAACATTGGTGAACTTCAAAAAAACAAGATAAACAATAATATTTTTCACACCTCACACATCTAAATTAACTTTGCGTCGCTTGTGAAGTCGCTAATTTACTTCCAACCTCCTCACTTTTTTTTGTAACAGTTGACACATCGACCTCTTTTTCTGCCAGAACCTTGACTTTCTTCTAAATAATGTTCTGCAGAACGTTGATTGGCAGCTCGAGAATTTGCTATAGTAGGTGGAATACGTAGCATTTCTTTTATAAGAATTTCTTTAAATTTTGTTATTGACATCTTATCATTGGCAACTTCCTGGTGTAAGATGTAGGCATTTATTACTGCAGTACCCGCTAACAATTCTATTGCTAATTTTCGATGCCATTTTATTCCTCGTCTCAAAGATGTTCCATATGTGTCCACCGGTGTAACTTTCGGCGGCAACAACTTCATTTTTTTTAAGTTTTTTAGTTACGACATCTTTGGGGTTTAGTTTTCTATTTGCCCGTAATGTTCCGACCAAGTGAGTTTTTCGTTTTGAAAGACAATGAGCTAATCCAACACTGGTGTAATAATTGTAATCAAGTAGGTTATTCATAAGAGACATTACTACTGCAGTGGAGACAGACTGGCCTTCAGTTTTTTCATTACCGCAATATACGTATATTCCTTACTGACACACAACTTGAAAAGCTTTATACCAAATTTGTGGCGCTTGTTCTTGATATATTGTCGAAAGGACAGACGC